CTGGGAGGGCGAGGTGCATGTATTGTATTGATGTAGCTACCTGGGAGGGCGAGGTGCATGTATTGTATTGATGTAGCTACCTGGGAGGACGAGGTGCATGTATTGATGTAGCTACCTGGGAGGGCGAGGTGCATGTATTGTATTGATGTAGCTACCTGGGAGGGCGAGGTGCAAGTATTGATGTAGCTACCTGGGAGGGCGAGGTGCATGTATTAATGTAGCTGCCTGGGAGGGTGAGGTGCATGTATTGATGTAGCTACCTGGGAGGGCGAGGTGCATGTATTGTATTGATGTAGCTACCTGGGAGGGCTAGGTGCATGTATTGATGTAGCTACCTGGGAGGGCGAGATGCATGTATTGTATTGATGTAGCTACCTGGGAGGGCGAGGTGCATGTATTGTATTGATGTAGCTACCTGGGAGGGCGAGGTGCATGTATTGATGTAGGTACCTGGGAGAGCGAGGTGCATGTATTGATGTAGCTACCTGGGAGGGCGAGATGCATGTATTGTATTGATGTACCTACCTGGGAGGGCGAGGTGCATGTATTGTATTGATGTAGCTACCTGGGAGGGCGAGGTGCATGTATTGATGTAGCTACCTGAGAGGGCGAGGTGTATGTATTGATGTAGCTACCTGAGAGGGCGAGATGCATATGTTGTATTGATGTGGCTACCTGGGAGGGCGAGGTGTATGTATTGATGTAGCTACCTGAGAGGGCGAGATGCATGTGTTGTATTGTTGTGGCTACCTGGGAGGGTTAGGTGCATGTATTATATTGATGTAACTACCTGAGAGGGCGAGGTGCATGTATTGATGTAGCTACCTGAGAGGGCGAGGTGTATGTATTGATGTAGCTACCTGGGAGGTCGAGGTGCATGTATTGATGGAGCTACCTGGGAGGGCGAGGTGCATGTATTGATGTAGCTACCTGGGAGGGCGAGATGCATGTATTGTATTGATGTAGCTGCCTGGGAGGGCGAGGTGCATGTATTGATGTAGCTACCTGGGAGGGTGAGGTGCATGTATTGATGTAGCTACCTGGGAGGGCGAGGTGCATGTATTGATGTAGCTACCTGGGAGGTCGAGGTGCATGTATTGATGTAGCTACCTGGGAGGGCGAGGTGCATGTACTGATGTAGCTACCTGGGAGGGCGAGATGCATGTATTGTATTGATGTAGCTGCCTGGGAGGGCGAGGTGCATGTATTGATGTAGCTACCTGGGAGGGCGAGATGCATGTATTGTATTGATGTAGCTACCTGGGAGGGCGAGGTGCATGTATTGATGTAGCTACCTGGGAGAGCGAGGTGCATGTATTGATGTAGCTACCTGGGAGGGCGAGATGCATGTATTGTATTGATGTAGCTACCTGGGAGGGCGAGGTGCATGTATTGTATTGATGTAGCTACCTGGGAGGGCGAGATGCATGTATTGTATTGATGTAGCTACCTGGGCGGGTGAGGTGCATGTATTGATGTAGCTACCTGGGAGGGCGAGGTGCATGTATTGATGTAGCTACCTGGGAGGGCGAGATGCATGTATTGTATTGATGTAGCTACCTGGGAGGGCGAGGTGCATGTATTGTATTGATGTAGCTACCTGGGCGGGTGAGGTGCATGTATTGATGTAGCTACCTGGGAGGGCGAGGTGCATGTATTGATGTAGCTACCTGGGAGGTCGAGGTGCATGTATTGATGTAGCTACCTGGGAGGGCGAGGTGCATGTATTGATGTAGCTACCTGGGAGGGCGAGATGCATGTATTGTATTGATGTAGCTGCCTGGGAGGGCGAGGTGCATGTATTGATGTAGCTACCTGGGAGGGTGAGGTGCATGTATTGATGTAGCTACCTGGGAGGGCGAGGTGCATGTATTGATGTAGCTACCTGGGAGGGTGAGGTGCATGTATTGATGTAGCTACCTGGGAGGGCGAGGTGCATGTATTGATGTAGCTACCTGGGAGGGTGAGGTGCATGTATTGATGTAGCTACCTGGGAGGGTGAGGTGCATGTATTGATGTAGCTACTGGGAGGGTGAGGTGCATGTATTGATGTAGCTACCTGGGAGGGTGAGGTGCATGTATTGATGTAGCTACCTGGGAGGGCGAGATGCATGTATTGTATTGATGTAGCTACCTGGGAGGGCGAGATGCATGTATTGTATTGATGTAGGTGCCTGGGAGGGCGAGGTGCATGTATTGATGTAGCTACCTGGGAGGGTGAGGTGCATGTATTGATGTAGCTACCTGGGAGGGTGAGGTGCATGTATTGATGTAGCTACCTGGGAGGGTGAGGTGCATGTATTGAATGTAGCTACCTGGGAGGGTGAGGTGCATGTATTGATGTAGCTACCTGGGAGGGCGAGATGCATGTATTGTATTGATGTAGCTACCTGGGAGGGCGAGATGCATGTATTGTATTGATGTAGGTGCCTGGGAGGGCGAGGTGCATGTATTGATGTAGCTACCTGGGAGGGTGAGGTGCATGTATTGATGTAGCTACCTGGGAGGGTGAGGTGCATGTATTGATGTAGCTACCTGGAGGGTGAGGTGCATGTATTGATGTAGCTCTGGGGGGGTGAGGTGCATGTATTGATGTAGCTACCTGGGAGGGCGAGATGCATGTATTGTATTGATGTAGCTACCTGGGAGGGCGAGATGCATGTATTGTATTGATGTAGCTACCTGGGAGGGCGAGATGCATGTATTGTATTGATGTAGGTGCCTGGGAGGGCGAGGTGCATGTATTGATGTAGCTACCTGGGAGGGTGAGGTGCATGTATTGATGTAGCTACCTGGGAGGGCGAGATGCATGTATTGTATTGATGTAGCTACCTGGGAGGGCGAGATGCATGTATTGTATTGATGTAGCTACCTGGGAGGGCGAGATGCATGTATTGTATTGATGTAGGTGCCTGGGAGGGCGAGGTGCATGTATTGATGTAGCTACCTGGGAGGGTGAGGTGCATGTATTGATGTAGCTACCTGGGAGGGTGAGGTGCATGTATTGATGTAGCTACCTGGGAGGGTGAGGTGCATGTATTGATGTAGCTACCTGGGAGGGTGAGGTGCATGTATTGATGGCATAATTTAAATGAGACATAAATGATAGAGATCTGAGACACACTGTAGTGAACAACGAAGTCAATCTAACAGAGAAGTGAAGAACAAATAAGAATGAGGAAAACCGGAAGAGATTAAGATTGTGAGAGAATCCAAGACTATTGGTGATTCTTTTTGGTATATATGAATAAGATTGGTGTTATGACAGGTCTGTTTATATGTAGGTGAAGTTAGGTTAAGTTAGGTTATGTTAGGTTAGGTTCGGTTATTAAGTTAGGTTAGGTTGGCTTAGATTACGTTAGATTAAGTTAGGTTACGTGAGGTTGGGTTAGGTTAGGATAAGTTAGGTTATGTTGGGTTAGGTTATGTTGGGTTAAGTTAGGTTACGTGATGTTAGGTTAGGTTAGGATAGGTTAGGTTAGGTTGGGTTAGGTTATGTTGGGTTAAGTTAGGTTACGTGAGGTTAGGTTAGGTTAGGATAGGTTAGGTTAGGTTGGGTTAGGTTATGTTAGCTTAAGTTAGGTTACGTGAGGTTAGGTTACTGATGCTAACAAAGTATAATGTGTACCAGTTTTAACACTTATTTCCTCTCAGTTTTAAAAGTTACTGTCTCTGTGTTGCAATAAGGTCACAGAAAACAGGTGATGTCACAATACGCACAACAACCACTGGGGAAAAAATAGCGATCTTTCAAGCACTTTCGGAATAAAGTGAGAAATCACGAAAGTTTTTGGAAGTTCACTATTATTTTCACAGTGGTTGTTCTGAATATTTCCCCTCTGCTTTAACACTTACTGTGAACACTTACTGTGAACACTGTGAACACTTACTGTGAACACTTACTGTGAACACTTACTGTTAACACTTATTGTGAACACTTAAACACAGCAGTGTATGAGGTGTTCACAGATTTCTTGGCTTCATATCAATAAGTATAAATACCTTATATTCTCAGGTTATACTGCAGGTTTATGTATCCTTGCTAGGACCTCGCTTATATTAGTATACTAATCTTATACCATAATTTTAAAGTAGTGGAGTGGTAAGCCAGTGGAAGGCCTCGGTTTGATGACCAAAAGCTCCAACTTCGGGTCATCATATAACTAAAACCCGCTTTAGGAAACAGTCCTATTTCCTGAGAAAACTTACTTAACCTGTCACTTAAATTATTCTGCTCAGTTCTGGTCATAATATTACAGAATAGACATAAATACTGCACAATTCTGGTGTCTATATTACAGAATAAATATAAATGCTCTGGAAAACGTACAGAGGAGGATGACAAAGATGATCCCATGTATCAGAAATTTTCCCTATGGGGACAGACTGAGGCCCTGAATCTGTACTCTCTAGAAAGGTGTAGAATTAGGGGGGATATGATTGAGGTGTATAAATGGAAAACAGGAATAAATAAAGGGGATGTAAATAACGTGCTAAAATATCTTAATAAGACAGGACTCGCAGCACTGGTTTCAAGTTGGAAAAAGATGGGTATAGAAGAGAGACTCCCAGTTGCGTGTGAGTTGGACTTGCCTAGCATGTACAAGTAGGCCTACTGCACTGTTTGCTTGTGTAAGCTAGGATAACCCAGAAAGCCATCTTATCAGGGTGTCTGGCTTATTTCCACTTGGATCCCTTAATTCTCTCCCCAGGAGAAGCCTATCTAGGAAGCCTAGCAAGTACTCATGAGTACTTACTAGAAAATACTAGGAAGCCTAGTACTGTGTGAACACTAGGTGAGTACTTACTAGAAAGTTTGGTGCTGTATGAACACTAGGTGAATACTTACTAGAGGTAACTAGGAAGCCTAGTACTGTGTGAACACTAGGTGAGTCCTTACTAAAGGGTGCTATGAAGCCTAGTACTATATAAGCACTAGGTAAGCACTCACTGGAGATTACTAGGAAGCCTAGTATAATAAAGACTAGGTAAATACTCACTGGAGATGACTAGGAAGCCTAGTATAGTGAAGACTACTCCCAGGATGACGATAACGATGCCTGAGCCAGTAACACACACCAACACCTGCTTGTTAGCAACATTCTTCCTCCTGACGGAGATCTCTCTCCAGTTGACCATGGGTCGGAAGCCTCCTACCCCACGCTGCGTCCGTTGAACCCCCATCTTCTGACCCTGTGGGAAGCACCAGTAGGAGTTAATGGGGGTGGGGGCAGAGGGGCAATCACCTGTATGGGGTTACAGGGGTTGAATTCCAGCGCCTGACCCCGAATGTTAACTTGCCGCTTGCGCGATTCACTTTCTCCTAGCCTAGTGTTTGTTTGTGTGTGTGTGTACTCACCTAGTTGTGGTTGCAGGGGTCGAGTCACAGCTCCTGGCCCCGCCTCTTCACTGGCCGCTGCTTGGTCATTCTTCCCGCTCCATGAGCTGTATCATACGTCTTCTTAAAGCTATGAATGGATCCTGCCTCCACTACATTACTTCCCAAGCTATTCCGCTTCCTGACTACTCTGTGACTGAAGAAATACTTCCTAACATCCCTGTGGTTCATCTGAGTCTTCAATTCCCAACAGTGACCCCTTGTTGCTGTGTCCCATCTCTGGAACCTCCTGTCTCTGTCCACCTTGTCGATTCCTCTCAGTATTTTATATGTCGTTATCATATCCCCCCTATCTCTCCTGTCTTCCAGTGTTGTCAGGTCGGTTTCTCTTAACCTCGTAGGACATGCATCTTAGCTCCGGGACTAGTCTTGTTGCAAACCTTTGCACTTTCTCTAGTTTCCGTACATGCTTGGCTACGTGTGGGTTCCAAACTGGCGCGGGAAGGAAGGAAAAAAAAAAAAACTGGCAGGAAATGGCGGAAATCGTACGCCAAATCTAGTCATTTCTGGAGTGGAACCACAGTCGATGGCCTCCACTCCAAACCAACAGCTACAGATACTAATGCCGTAAAAAAAAAGTCCCCCCCCAGTACCAACAATACCACCAGTCCGATGACATTCTTCTTTGCAAATATACAGGGTCTAAAGCCAGCAACAAACAACAAAATACCTTTCATCCGTGGACTGCTTGCAGAGGCAAATGCAATGTTCGCGGCTTTCACAGAGACCCACATAAAGGATCACTTGGACAACGAAATATGGATCCCAGGTTACAACCTATACAGATGTGACAGAGTGAACAGGCAAAAAAGGGGGGGGGGAGGTTGCCCTGTATATCGCAGTCACTTGTTTGCACAGAACTGCTTAATGCCTCAAATGATGTAGTGGAAGTTTTAGCAGTAAAGATCGAGAACCAAAGCCTAGTCATTGTGGTAGTCTACAAGCCTCCGGATACAACATCCCAGCAATTCCAGGAACAGCTGTTAAAAATTGACCACTGTCTGGAAAATCTGCCAGCTCCTGCATCCAACATCTTGCTCCTGGGGGATTTCAACTTGAGGTACCTAAAATGGAGGAATATAGCAAATAATGTTGTTGCAGTGATAACACCAGGAGGAAGCTCTGATGAAAACTCACACTCACACGAGCTTTTAAATCTCTGCACAAAATTCAACTTAAACCAGCAAATAATAGAGCCTACTAGACTGGAGAATACACTAGACCTCATCTTCACTAACAATGATGATCTGGTACGAAATGTCACCATATCAAAAACAATATACTCAGATCCCAACATAATTGAGGTTCAGACATGTATGCGCGGAGCCCCAGACCGACATAATGAGATTAGTCACGAGGGAGCATTCACCAAATTCAACTTCAATAACAAGAACATAAACTGGGACCAAGTAAATCAAGTCCTAAACGATATAAGCTGAGAAGATAGACTAAGCAACACAGACCCCAACTTATGGCTAGATTAACTCGGTGGCACTCGATGTATGCTCAAGGCTTATTACTTTAGGAATAAGGAGGAGTAGCTGTAAAATAGAAAGAGACAGGCGCTCCCTCTACAGGCGACAGAAAAGAAAAACAGAGCGGCTAAAAGGGGCCAAATATATCAAATGCTTGGGGATTCACGGGCCCAGAAAAAAGCAAACATCGAACATAAGCTAAAGGGAATCTATAGGATAAAGGAAATGGGCGGAAGAACAAAACCCCCATAAATGAAATCGAAAGAAACCCAAAAATATTTCTTTTCTTATTTTCCAAATCAAAGTCGAGAACAACATCCAAAATTTGGGGGCCCCCACCCTTTTTTCCCAAAATGGGACCAAAACAGATTTACAGCAAGGGAAAAGAGGGGGAAATAACTCAAGTCCCCCAAAATTACTCAGTTTTTTGCAAAGGGGCCCTAAAACCCGACTAGAGTCGAAGAAACAAAATTAATTTTTTTTTGAAGAGCCACAGAATTTGGTTTAACCCCAACCATTTATATTACCGACGCCAAATTACTTTGAACAGGCCCATAAAAAGACAGCCCCCCTCACTTGCCCCCCGCCAACTCATGGGAAATTTCCCTTTCATCAAAACTGCCCAAAAAGCCCCAAAACACGAGCTTTTTCCAACCAAAGGAGAGGGGGCCCTGGACACGGGGCGTCCCAGTTTCAAAAAACCCAAAAGACAAGCCCCCCCTTTCCCCAAAAGGGGATAAAGCAATAGAAAAAAACTACCCGTTTGATAACAATAACATCCCCATATCATAAAAATCTTTGAAAGGGTCCCCAAGAAGCAAGATCGCCACCCATCTAGAAACCCATCCAAATTTCAAAAAAACCCCGGGGAACATGGGGTTTTGAGCAGGTCCCCTCCTGTCCCGTCCAAAATAATTGGGGGGGCCCCTACGGGCAAGGTTTCCCAGATGCACTAAAAAGACAAAAAACCTTTTACAAATGTGAACCCCTTTGGGGTAATTGCGCACAAAATGCAAAGGAATAAAAGGAAAAGTTGGTAGATAAGGGGTCTATAAATTTTTTCAAAAAACAGAACACAAAAAATTAGTAGTCAACAGAGTAAAGTCCGAGGCGGCTACGGTGAAAAGCTCTGTTCCACAAGGCACAGTACTCGCTCCCATCTTGTTTCTCATCCTCATATTTGACATAGACAAGGATGTCAGCCACAGCACCGTGTCTTCCTTTGCAGATGACACCCGAATCTGCATGACAGTGTCTTCCATTGCAGACACTGCAACTCTCCCGGCAGACATCAACCAAATCTTTCAGTGGGCTGCAGAAAACAATATGAAGTTCAACGATGAGAAATTTCAATTACTCAGATATGGTAAACATGAGGAAATTAAAACTTCATCAGAATACAAAACAAATTCCTTCCACAAATTATAGCGAAAAACCAACGTCAAAGACCTGGGAGTGATCATGTCGGAGGATCTCACCTTCAAGGACCATAACATTGTATCAATCGCATCTGCTAGAAAAATGACAGGATGGATAATGAGAACCTTCAATACTAGGGATGCCAAGCCCATGATGACACTCTTCAGGTCGCTTGTTCTATCTAGGCTGGAATATTGCTGCACACTAACAGCACCTTTCAAGGCAGGTGAAATTGCTGACCTAGAAAATGTACAGAGAACCTTCACGGCGCGCATAACGGAGATAAAACACCTCAATTACTGGGAGCGCTTGAGGTTCCTGAACCTGTATTCCCTGGAACGCAGGCGGGAGAGATACATGATTATATACACTTGGAAAATCCTAGAGGGACTAGTACCGAACTTGCACACGAAAATGACTCACAACGAAAGCAAAAGACTCGGCAGACGATGCAACATCCCCCCAATGAAAAGCAGGGGTGTCACTAGCACGTTAAGAGCCAATACAATAAGTGTCAGGGCCCGAGACTGTTCAACTGCCTCCCAGTATACATAAGGGGGATTACTAATAAACCCCTGACTGTCTTCAAGCAGGCACTGGACAAGCACCTAAAGTCGGTGCTTGACCAGCCGGGCTGTGGCTCGTACGTTCGATTGCGTGCAGCCAGCAGTAACAGCCTGGGTGATCAGGCTCTGGTCCACCAGGAGGACTGGTCACAGACCGGGCCGCGGAGGCGTTGACCTCCGGAACTCTCTCCAGGTAAACTCCAATCATACTCCAATATAGGTCTAACGTACACAGTGTACAGGGTCCTGAACGATTCCTTATTAAGATGTCGGAATGCTGTTCTGAGGTTTACTAGGCGCCCATATGCTGCAGCAGTTATTTGGTTGATGTGCGCCTCAGATGTGCCCTGTGTTATACTCACCCCAAGATCCTTTTTCTTGAGTGAAGCTTGTAGTCTCTAGCCCCCTAAACTGTACTCCGTCTGTGGTCTTCGTTGCCCTTCCCCAATCTTCATGACTTTGCACTTGGAGGGGTTGAACTCCAGGAGCCAGTTGCTAGGCCAGGCCTGCAGCCTGTCCGAATCTCTTTGTAGTTCTGCCTGGTCCTCGTCCGACTGAATTCCTCTCATCAACTTCACATCATCTGCAAAGAGGGACACTTTGGTGTCTATTCGTTCCGTCATGTTCACAAATACCAGAAACAGCACCGGTCCTTGGACTGATCCCTGTGGCACCCCGCTCGTCACATGCGCCCACTCTGACACCTCGCCACGTACCAAGACTCGCTGTTGTCTTCCTGACAAGTATTCCCTGATCCATTGTAGTGCCTTCCCTGTTATCCCTGCCTGGTCCTCCAGCTTTTCCAATAATCTCTTGTGTGAAAATGTGTTAAATGACTTCTTACAGTCCAAGAAAATGCAATCTACTCTCTCTCTTTTCTTACTGCTGTCATAGAACTCCAGTAAGTTTGTGACACAGGATTTCCCATCCCTGAAACCGTGCTCCACCACTCTTCTGATAATCTCCATGACTTTGCATACTATACATGTCAGTGACGCTGGTCTGTAGTTTAATGCTTCGCGTCTGTCTCTTTTTTTAAAAATTGGGACTACATTTGCTGTCTTCCATACCTCAGGTAGTCACCCTGTTTCGATAGATGTGTTAAAGGTTGTTGTTAGGTGTACACAGCGCCTCTGCTCCCTCTCTCAGGACCTGTGGAAAGATGTAATCTGGCCCCATCGCCTTTTAGGTATCTAGCTCGCTTAGCAGGCTCTTCACTTCTTCCTCGGTTCTGTGTATTGTGTCCAGCACTTGATGGTGTACCCCACTTCTCCGTCTTTTTGGAGTCCCTTCTGTCTCCATTATGAACACTTCTTTGAATCTCGTGTTGAGCTC